TTTATCAATATTAATTTAAAATTTATAAGATTTAATTGGCATTGAGACACATTGGAATGAGAAATTGAAGACACACCAATGAATGCCAACAAACGACAGTAACTAACAGTAGTAGATTTACTGGGTAAAGAAAACGAAAGCAATGGACTAATTGCAGATTTATTTACGCAGCATAACGAATAGTTTAATACCGTATAATAATGTGTTCTTAATGATTCGATGATTCGATGGGTGGCATGTTCTCGATTTTTTCCTTTTTTCCAATATAAGCGTTTCGTACCGTAGACATCCCTTATCAATGGTAAACCTTGATGGTGTCCGCAAGCTAGTGGTTTTGCGTTCAGCTGCGGAAAAGTCACACACATGTACACCAAAGGTCATATCGGAAAAGTAATCTTTTTTCGCTCTTCTCAAACTCTACGGATTAAAGAACTGAAAGCAGGACTGCAGAGCATGTTAAGAAGGACGAGTCGATCCACCGCTTTATTTCATGAAAATCCAGCTGCATATCACGCTTAGCCCACACATGTTAGCTGAATTTATGCCCGAGACATATGCGATTAATCGCCGTATTCTAAACAATGTCACGTCCAAGTAAGCCACCAAAATTTGCAGGATTCTCGTGACTATTATTGTTATTGTAATTTATTTAGACCAAATGGATAAATTCTAGAGCTAAGTGCAGGATGAGCACTAACAATTAGGACAATCAACTCCGCCTTTCAGCTTTAATGAACTTGAAAAATTTATTGATATTAAATTCTAAAGGTGCTTGCAAGAAGTCCATAGGGTTAGATGTTCTGAAAAGTGATCTTTGCATATCAGAAAGATTTTGTCATGCACAAAGTATAAGTTTAATAGTGAGATGCTGCCCACAATCAAGCCTCGGAGGAGCAGAATTTTTAAGCATCCATTGATGCATGGTATTGCCGAGTCGGATTCTTGCAAATGATTCGAGTTTTATTTTCCTCACGATCCCAGAAATCAGATTCAGTTAAATAAGAGGAAAGAACTTGCCAAAAAATCTATTTAGCTGCGTTTGGGGTAATCAAAATTGGAATATAGCAAACAGGCAAACGGAATTGAATCCAGTTTGAGCGTAAAAGTGAAGAAAATTTGTATAATATGAAATTTCCGGTACCATGATAAGCATAACGTGCTATGTAAGCGAATGTATTGTAATCTATAAAAGATAATGTAATATAAACAGCACAACAATAAATAATAATAAAGCAACAACAATATGTGGATCATTAATTTTTTCAATCTTCCCTTATCCAAAGCGAACCTGTGAACAGATTTGATCGATTTTTCAACTTCCCTAATCGTAGCAAAATTAAAAATCCCTTACCAACATCCGTATTCTGACCGATATCGTAGAAACCTCACACGTCACAAAACGTTGACGAGCACTTCTTTTTTTCTCATTTTATTTATCCATTCATCCTCATTGTTCCATTTAAACTAAAATTTACTTGAACACGTCTTCTTCTTCCTCTGCTAGTCGGCAAATTGGCAATATATGATTTGGGGCGTTGAGTAGGCGAAACTTACCATCTGCCCACGTCTGTTTACTTCCAGTTAATATCTAACTATGCAGGGTTACCCACAAGGTGGGACCTCTATCGTAACTATTGCTACAGAATGTCAAATTTAGTGTAAAAAGTCACAAAATTGTGACTAGCAAACGAGCTGATCGCTGCAAGATTTTTTAATAAGAAGTGTTTTATTACGCTTCGTATCATTTCTAACAAATGACCTGGCCTGGCGATGACAATTGAGAGAGAGAGAGAGATGTTCGTTACGTTCGCTTTGCTCGAACGAATTGAACGCCCGCAGTGACTCAAAAAAAGATGGCAATTTTTTATATAAAATCATTCCAAGTGATGAGTTTCTCATCTTTCTGTCACTGCGCATATATAAAAGAGCTTAGCTTAGGCAGAAATCCAAGAGAAATATTCGAACAACTTCTCGGAGGGTGGGTGTGCTTTGTGCGGGTCTTTGCGTCCTCGAAAATGCCCCAGTTATAGTGAATGAGTGTTTTATCGGAGAATGTCGCCTTTCGCTCAACTCGTGACTCTACTTCTATGCGATTGATTTAAAATGACACCACTTGACATCTTGTCAAACCGTCCTATAAAAATGTAGCTTCAATGAGGCGCCAATGCTTACCAAGCTAGCGTAATTTAAATTTCGTCTTAACTTTTATTTAAATGCATATAAAGCGATTAAGAAATAGTTTCTTGCTCTTCTTCTGAAAGAACGCAAAGGCAAAGAAAGAAATCAATATTAATTGATCGAATAAAAGACAAAATATGCATACAACTCTTACGCATTCTTTGCTTCATTTCATTCATTTGTAACAATCATTTCATTTCACGCTCGCAGCTCGCAGCTCGCAGCTCGTAGCTGGTAACTCGTTGCTCGTTGTACTGGCCTTTGTCACTAACGTCACATGAACGTGATTGTTATTGGGTCGCCAATAAAGTTCACTTAAATAAGAAGAAAATTTTTATTAAGCAAACAAATTGAATTGATTGATTTTAATTAATTTATGGGGTTACATACAAAAGTTTTCAAACTTTCCTTTTACTTCTGTTACTACTGTAAAAATTCGCTGATCAAATGCATATGAAAGCATATCGTCCGATATTGTTGTGAATGTTTTTTGAAAAGTTTTTTTTTAAATTTCAATCTTCAAGAATATAAATTAGCAGAATGCAATAAATAGAAAATAGAAATTTTATTTTCAGGTTATCATCATCATGTAAATCTTTGACAAATTTACCATCCGTATGGTAAACGAAAAAAAAAAAAAAAGAAGTAAGGCCACACTTTGGAAGTCGACTTCAATCACATTTTAACTGCAGTATAAGTTTTATTAGAGGGAAAGTCATAATTCAATCAATTGTGAAAACTCAGCCATACTCAGCCATGTTTGCATGGCATTAACAACCTTCTCCTATGTATGGGACTAAATTTAAAAGAATTGTTATTGCTTCAGTTTGACACTATATGAAAATATAGTAGGCCATCGTATGGGCAATTTGTGGCAGCAACTCAAACCCAAACAACGTATACATATTGTCACCTGAAAATGGAAGCTTAGAGTTGAGCTTTTAAATAATAATATAAACAACATTGGAGAACAACTTAAAGACAAAAAATCTGAAAACAATTTCTGTTATGTGCTTAAAAGTGTCTACTGCCCACTGCCGAACACCGGACATCATATAGCCTTAGTCTAAAGCTAAAGCTTATAAAGCATATCTCGTCGTAAAAATGATAAATTGTCTATTCATAGTTAGACATAAAGTGTGCATTGTCAGTTTAACATTTTTGTATGTACGATGTCTACACGTACGAACACATTTATACGAATTTTGTGTATTGAACACCCTGCGGCTTAAATATTTGTCCAGCATTTTCTATGTACGACCATCATTCTAGTTCGTTTCGTTTGATACTTACATATACACACACACACACATACTATGTATATGCGGTAATACTTTAAATTCAGCACCAAAAGCCACGAGGTGGTCATCTATACATACACAAATTTACATATACATATGTAGTTGTAAGCAAACATGCCTGCATCTACTAAGGCCTTCAAACGTCGGAAATTTTCAAAAAAATTAACGCAGATTGAATGGCTGACGCAATAAACACACAGGAATCGAACGATTGTAATTTTTCGAATTTTAACACTAGAACCGCCAAGTCAGTCATTTCGATCCCTTTTCACCTGATTACAAGGCGGACTTCTATTTTTATAAAAAGCCCTTTAAATATTTGTAATCAGGGTGTCTAACGGACAGAAAAAGGGGATCAAAATAGCTTTACTTTTTGATATAAATAAGCAGGTCCAAGATGCCGGTAGTTATAGTGTTGACATGACTTCACATCATTTCATCTTCAAGAAGCGCATATGCATAATACCGCGATAAAGTAGTGATGTCATTTGCTTGTGGGGGGGATTGGTCGTGGGATCGCCGTAATTCCCATCTGTATTTGCGTTCTATTACGAACCAATCGATAACCAGCATTATGCCTTTGTTCGTCCCAAATTTATACGTCCAACTTTTGACGTAACTACATGCCTACATCCTCTAAGCAAAGTACTTGTGGTACCCATAGTATAGACTTGAAAGAAGAGGTTGTAAAACAGCAGGAGAGCGCTGCTTACGAATTTCTTCTCTTTTTTCGAAGCATTTTGCAAACTATTTTCAACCTTGTACGTGAAAATTATAGACAACATTACTTTTCTTCTAAGCCGACTGACGCTAAGCTGAATTTTCAACATATGAGACGTATGTTAAGTAAAATGTTATTAGAATCCACATAGCGGAAAGTTCTCCGCCTCTTAGACCACCTCGGGAGCGAGCATGTATTAAATTTGTGCGAGCGTATCAAACATCCGGAAAGGTTCAAAGTATACTCACCTACATTCTGGATCGGTTTGAGCGGCAATTTTTGGGATCTTGCGTTGAAATTTAGTATACCGGTGTGGTTTGCTATAAAGCACTTTTCCGACCTCTTCCGAACTCATTATATGAATAACATTATGGTGGGGTAGGGTATTCCAAGGCCCTCTATGGTGTCTCTACTTATCTAAGAAGAAAATATTATCTAATATGACTAGAAAGGATAGATGTGTGGATATGCATTATAATTTATTATAATAAATTCCCAAATTTTTATAAATACCCACGACTCTGAGATGCCTTAATATCTGTGTATGTACAGTCAAGTATTTTATCTGGTGCCACATTGTTTATGCAGAATTTTTTCGCTTAATTGATTTTCCGCTATTTGTGTTGGTCGTAAGGTAATAAAACTTATCAATTACATAGAAATTCCTAAAGTGTACAACAACAACAGCAAGAATATTAATAAAAACATTTTACAAAGTTTTCTTTTCGAAAAATTGATAAATGAAAAGAAAAACAAAAAACTCATATGAAATCCGATACAAGTTTATTCTGCTTAATATCCTAAGAGGCCGTGAGTTTTTTCAAATTTTTTCTAATCCAAGCGGCAACGCTCGGTATACGTGTGAAAACATAAATACTTCCCGTTGAACATATTTGCTTGCCGTACGATAGCACACCCCATTGCCTAGAGAAAGTTGTATCAACTAAAGGCCCACCGGACTCGCCCTAGAATCAAACACTTTGAAGAGAAAATTTCACTTTGCCGCTAATTCGTAACTTACGTCGCAAGCTCCGCGAAATTTTAAAGCACGAGCGCAAAAATCACTTTTAGTGATGCGCTTGAAATTATTCTGTAGGCACTCAGTCGTAGCTATTATATGAAACGGAATTAATTCCAAAAATTTCTCCGTTGTCGCATTCACTTGACCCCAACCAATGAAAAGCGCATCCTCATGGTCCGGCACGTCTAAGCAATCTTCGATATCAATTTGTGCAAACTCGTCACTATTCAATCGGAAAGCAGGTTTCACTTTAAGCAAAGCTACATCGTTACCCATTAGCGGGTAAAAATGTTCATGTTTAATCACTTTCATCACTTTATAACGTCTTCCATGGGTAGTTTCGCCCATTTTCAAATAATTCCGGCCGCCCACCACACTTATTTGCTCGTTAGGTTTCACTTTTATAAAACAATGGGCCGCCGTTAGAACAACATTCTCCGCTATAATGCTACCAACACATAAATGCTTGAAACCATTCGGTATTTTCGCTTGTATCGAAACCACAAACCGCAAACGCACTGTGGCGGTGGCCACGGCACCTGCTGTGTCGTTAGATACTGCTATCTTGGCATTGGTCATATGAAAAATCGCGCTTAACGGTAATATCATAAAGATAAACTCGACATACATAGCAGTCGTCGCGTATATGTGCGTAACTTTTCAAGTTTCGAAGTGAAGAGCATTACGGAAATATTGAAAATTTATATAAAACTGTCAACGCAATGGAGGGCGAGAATGACAAAAACGTAACTAATTACATTTTTTTCATTCATTTGATATACTTAATGAGTCAATCATCATGCGCTGATATATATAAAGCAAAGGTGATATATATATTGATATACTGTTTATAGGAGCTTTCATTATTTATATCCACGTCGTCGATCTAAGCAGTGTCTGCTGGCGAGAAACTTTCCTCTCAAATTGTCGAAACTATTCTCTTCTATCTCGCGCTAGATAAGATCCCCTATTTATCGGATTGCCCCCTCCCTTTGCCGCTGGTCGTCTGTTTATAATTTTTCATCATTTCGGTGGAAGAAAACTACCCTTAAGTTCATCGCCGGACAACGAATGGTGAGTATATGGTTGAAGTTGAAAGATCTTTTGCATGACATACTTTCGTTATCTAGGCAGGTGTACTAAGCGAATATAATTCCGCAACGAAACTTAGTCGACGACTTTTGCATTTCGTTCCTGTTTTTTCATGGCCATTTCTAAAAGTACAGCATACGAAGGACTTATCATTGCATTGCTTTAAGTACTATCGCCCTTTTGGATCCCAAAAAGCATGTAAGTCCACAGGAGTTAAAATAACTTTGAAAATCATCTAAATAACAAATATTGAGGCAAAGGTTTAGAACGTAATACAAATCCTTCCAAGGGGTTGAATCTATACCACGATCGCTAAAGTTTGTAACGAAAGATCTACAGACGGAGCAGGCGACCATAAACGGCTAAAGCGACAAGAGTAAATATGATCGCTTAACAACTGTAAAGATCGCTCTTAAGAGCTCCCGACGAGAAGAAATCTCTGTGACTGTAAAGGACGAATTTAGAAGAAGTGCGGGCAGAAATGCGTCCTTGCGAAGACGCTGATGTGCAAACGAACAGGAATGTAACCCGTAAGTAAGAGAAAGTAAGATGATAAGTTCTCGGCTTGCGAAAGGAAAATTATTTTCATCTCATGTAAGGGAACTATGAAAGCCGCTAATGTGAATTTGGGCTATGGTTGTAAGAGAAAAAAGTTATTTTGGCGAGCTGTAGGAAGAACGCGTCTTTTATGCGGCCAACGAAGGCTTTCGTTAAGCGTTAAAAGTACAAGGCTGACGAGAGTAAAACGTTCGGTAATGGAAGACAATTGTTCCCTTACAAGGCAAACTAGAAAAGCCTTTGTGATACGCTGTTAGACGTTTCTCTTTTCGTTGCTGATTCAAATGAAATGTAAAAGGATCGTAGAAGAGGTAAGATTGTGCTCGCGATTGTGCGGCACTTTTTTACACTCTTCCCATTCTGCCAAGTTTTCTTTAAGGTGGACATACCATTTCGAATGTTTGTTCAGCAATCATCCTCGCTTTGTAAAGGATGGCAATATTTACGATATTTATATACCATAAAATTGTTCCTTCTTCGGGGTAAAAGTAGTGGGCATTTTAAAATTGTCGCTATGACGTGCAAATAAGAAGTTATCGCGTAAAGTTATCATCAATTAGCCAACAAGCATATGATATCAATAAATTTTCTTGAATCGTTTCTCGAATATCTCTTATCAAGATCTTTACTTTTTAGCTCTCTTTCTTAAATCTCTTTGACTGCGTGTCTTCATTCATATCTTTCCTGTTGTCTAGTTTCGTTTGCTGCTTTCTATATAAACTTTTGTAATTTATAATCGTGTAATAGCGTTTTTAATGTCGCCCAAACAGCACGGGGCATCTGTACTACTGGGCAAAACAAATTAACTACTTTTTGTTTTTTTTTTTTGTCTTGTGTTAAGAGAAGACAACAATTTGTTAATGAAGTTAAACATGTTCGGCTTGCCATGGAAAAATTCTCGTAAATCTTATTAGTTTAGCACCAAAAAAAAAACAAGAAAAAAAAAAGAAAAAGAAAAAATCGATACAAGCTTTTTAGTATTAAAATTATAAATATTCAAGTGTTCGAATGCGAAGTCATGGTCCGGAGTGGAGGTGAAATGATTTATTTTAACTCTGCAAAAGAAGAAGAGAAGGAAAAACGAAACTGCATTTATTAGTATTACGAGTCGCGAGTCTCTATACAATTGCACTGCTTTTCACAAATTTTCAAATTATCCGCAGTCCATAAAACTCACCGGCGTGGCTTAACAATTAGATTCAATTTTAAAGCATAGCAAAATATACTTTGAAAGCCCCCATAAACTATTTAATGATTATATTTCCATATACACATACAACACACATGTATGTATATGCATTCTCGAGTGTAGAAAGAAAAAGCCATGAAATGATTTTTCAAAGAGCATGCACAAGCAGGTGTATCACTGCGGGATGATGTAACGCTATATTCAGTATACACAGGTGGGCTTATGAAAAATTTCGAAAACGTTTTTTATCATAGGCACAGACATATGCGCTAAACTTATTTCATTTATCTTTTATTTAATGCATGCCAGCCGTGCTTATCATCATTTCCTTTATCGTTTATATAAAATAATTTCATTTAAAAAACATTTTTTTTGTTTCAATTTTAATATATCATCCGCTATCAACTATTAAACATTTTTTAATGTATGCAAGAGTTGACATTAAACATGTAATTAAAAAGTTTACATATATATATATATACCAGCAATATATATACGATGTATGTGTGTGCGTGTGCGCGTGATGCATGTTGTCTTATGTTTTGTCATCTTTAGAGCTTAACACATCAAAGGATATAAAGGCAAGTAAACAAGCTGACTTTATCAAAGGATATATATGTATGTACCACTACTGTCGCTGAACAAAGCTAATGCGCAAAGTTAATATAACGAAAACCGTTTGTTTAACATTACGATTAACTTGTACGATGGCAAAGCTTAAAGGAAGCAAATCATTGCTTATATATATATATTTTTTTTTTTTGTTTTTTTACATTATATACGTACATTAGAATAACTATTTACGGACAGCATAGACGTCCAAGTGGCAGTTTGAGTTTTAAACATATAATATAAACTTCCTTTTTCCGCCTTACTATCGCGAAGTCGACCTGCTTCTAATGTGTCTCGTTTAGGTTAACGAAGATCGCAAGGCATGCTCTATCTCCTTTGCGGCTTATTTTCACTCGGCAAAGCCGATTACCCTTTCCATAGTGGATCGTTAACCGTATCTTCTGTACTTTCTGTCTCCTCAGCCGACACAACAGATAGGAATTCTACGGCTCCGATCTAAAGGTATCTAACAGCTATTAGCCTACAATCGTCCATCTTTTAAATTAAGATCGCCTCGTAACTTATTTAAAAAAGTCCTTGAAGATCGAACGCTACATTTCACACCTTCTCTAAGATCAATGCATTTATATATCGAAAAGCGATCTTGTTTTCATTCTCTCATATTCCGTTTGTAGCACTTGAAAGCTTTCTTGATAGGTTTAGAAATCAAATGAAAGATTCAGTTTATCATCATCGTCATCAACTTCAGTTCAGTGTAAACAAGTTTAACTAGAAAATAAGGTGAGTTTGTGACGGGACAACATTCGCGTTTAGGGTTGACATAATTCGCCTAACCACTATGGGCGTTTATTTTATCACCTGCCAAGCTGCGGAAATCATCTTGAACAGAACCGGCGCGAAGGAGTCGTCTTTCGGTATGCATTAGAGTCGTCTTCCGGAGGTCTGCGAAGTGTGATTCTCAAACGTACCCAAGCCGGACGACAGACGAAAGCAGTGTTCTGTGCACCGTCATTTATACCTTGACCTACGTCGAATGCGTTATTTGTTCATAACTTGAAGCGGGACAAATAACTCGAAAAATGTCGATGACCAGTGAAAAACTCGATTAAGTAGAAATTAACTTCTCCGTGCTTCCTCCCCAACGTGCTCTACCGAATAGCGGTCTTTACTCTGCAGACATCGCTGTAATTTCCTTCACCAGCAGATGTTTCTTTTTTGCCCGTATATATACATAACTGGTCGTTCAATAGTAGCTCGACGGTCAACATTTCTGTTAGAACCGCTGCCGCTGACATTAGGCTGATATTATTCTCAACGTACACCTCCTTTGAATTGCGTTCAGGCTTCGTATGAGATGTTTACCTCGCAGCACTTTTTTCGCCCACATTGGTGCAGCGTACACCATTTTCGTATAGGCCACGCTACATATGATGTTTCATCTCACTTGCTTACTTGACTCGAGATACTAGAAACATTAGGAATAATAAAAACACTAGATGGACTAATGACACTAGAAAGACTAGAGGCATTAAGGATATCGAGTAAAGTTCAATATATGTCATAGATCAGCTTTTCACAGTAAGCATTACTTAATTTCAAATAACAATATTTTAGTGTTTGCAAAACAAAGCTAAGTCTTCAAGCCAAGATATGACTAACCTGACATTGTTAATTTTGGTGCAACAATTTGTTTTATTCCTATTAAAAGTCCAAGCTTCGTAATATGAGCCAATCAACGCGTTGCGTTGACATTATTGTCGTTGAAACCAAACCCCAGGTATTTATAGGGGAGATACCAGGCATATGCGAATTACGAGATCTATGAAATAAGCAAACACCAAGCGATCAATATTGAACAACTTTGAGCGTAGAAACAGTAAGTAACTAACTAACTGACAAGCGTCGGACAGACGCCTGAATGTATTTCATATTGGGTGGCATTTAAATTGTCGATAACTTCTTGGTATTGACACCTACGCGGGCCACTAAGCATTAAGCGAAGCATTACGCGCAAGGCAACATAAAACAAACAAACAAAAGCCAAAAAAATACGAAACAAAAAACAAAAGCACAATTGACTTTATTCAATTACAAGCTAAAGGAACAAATAAAAACAAGACTCAAGCCAGGCAATATCGTACAGACACATCGACTTTGATTGTTATATGGTCTGCGGGTATATTTTTTTTGCGCGAGT